AGAAGAAGTCACTGAGGGGTGATGGCACCCCTGCCCAGCTGGCTCTCCTGCCCACGGTGTGACAAATCTACACACACTCACCTGCTGCTTCCATCGTCATGGGTCGCCATGAAGAGCAGAGATTTTGGAGGAGCATTCTGAATAAACTGTGTCATCGGTCCTGAGTTGTCTGTTGGATCAATGCAAGTTAGCATTGGGATCTTGGCTGTCAACTGTAAATTCTGCCTGGATGTGGGGTCTCCCCTACATTCAGCCTTCATGATCACCCTGAATCCTCCATGCTGACAGCTCGCCTCTCAGCCACACAAATGGAGCTTGGGCTCCCTTCTCGTGTATAATTACCCAGGCCCAGGGAGACCAACTGAGGTGAGCAGAGCAGCAGGAAAGGAAGGGGCTTTGCAGAAAACTTGCAAGAGGTATTCAGGGTTATCATGAAAAGGGTCATGATACAGGGCTTTCTGAATCACTTTAGAAATCAGATCCTAAAGATTCTATTAGCTAAATTCACGACAACAGCAGTGCAGGTGGAGCCTTCTCTGCAACACTGACACAGTGTGACCATCCCAGAGCAGAGCAGCCTCGTGGATGCACTGCCGTGAAGAATGGGGCCACCTATTGAACTTAACACAAGGAATATAGAGCACCCCAGATGTGGGCAAGTCTTTGCTATGAGACTTAGCTATGCTTTATAGGAAGAAAATACACCTTAACCTCAAATCCCATTATTTACCATGGCAGCTTCTAATTCACTCCTGCTTAGGTTAACTGCAGAGTAAAAATGTGTAAGTCCTGTTGGGCGGATGCGGGCATTTTCTATTATTCTTCATTACCTTTATAAAGACTTGTTCTCAATAACTCTCCATGTCACATAAAAATAAGAGGGACTGGTATATGCTGTCCAGCAACTGCAGTCAAGATTTGGTGCCCAGAATGGTTGACTGCTGAAGGATAAGGGGCATGTGTGTGAGGAGGAGGACACCACAGTCCAGAAATAACTATGACGGCTACGTAACGTTGTTGATTCAGGTCTGGGTGCTGATTATATCATATTACATATATTTGATTAAAAGAGACATTTCTCTTTCCAATTATCTAACGAGAGTACAGGAGGAAAAGCCCGAAGCAAAGTGTAATCAGAGAAAAAGTATTTCTAAATACCTTCAAACTTCATTACATGAACTCAAGCATATTGGGTTGTCAGAAAAGTCATGACTTTTTTTTTAACGTTTTCCTATGCAAAAATGTGTCTTTACTTTTCTGACAACACAATAGCTTGAGGGGGTTTCTATAAAACTGTGCCAGAAAACTCACGTGAGCTGCTGCCAATAGCAAAAGAAAAAACTGTTAACATTTTTGCTTGTTTTTAATCTTAATTTTATGTTTATGATCTAGTTTAATTTTAATAGGAAAAGAGTTTTCTTACCACCTTCATACATATCAAAGTACTGTGTTGCTATCACTTTCCCAGTTAAATCTGAAAATAAAAGAAGGTTTTGTTATTGTTTTGTTTTGTTTTTTAAAAAAAGTTCACAGGAACCAAAGTGTATCTGCAGCACCAGAGCCTGGGACATGGCGTTCCTCTTCTGTCTCCAGGAAGACAATGATGTATGACTTGGCTGAGAGGGGAGTGTCACCAGTGCGAGGTCAGAAGGAACAGGACCTGGTAGTTGTCAAGAACTTTCTTCCACTTTCCTCTGGGTTAGATTAGATCTTGACACCCACTTCTATCAAAGAAGCACCTGGCCCCAACCACAGCCCTTTCTACTTGTCTCAGGATCACCACTGGGAGCAATGGTCTTCTCCTCAGTCCCGCAGTATGGAACCAGGCTTCTGGCCCACTCATTGGGACACCACAGAAGACTCCCTTCCCAGACTTGCTATGGTTCTCATTGTCATGGACCTCCCGATGGCAATCACGACAAGGCTGTTTTTCTAGGCCTAGGAGGAGGCCAAGTTTTGCTTCCTCGAGACCAGTGGCCTTAACACACAGAGGTGGGAATGGCCAGTGGTGTCTCTATCTACTCAGTCCTTGGAAACTGGCAACAGAGGTGAGTTTCCGACCCTGGCCACAGTCTGTGTCCCCATGGCCTACTTGGCTGGTCTTAACTCTGCCTTCTACCTGTCCTTTGTGTTCTGTGCAGTCTATTTATACTTGGTTTTCAGTTGTTTATTTGTTGTTGTTGAAACCACAATTACCTATAAAGTGAGGCTTGTAGAAGTGATTAAATATATCATCTTAAAATATGTGTCAGCAGGTGGCATGGAGGTTAAGGTACTGGATCTCACATGGCTGACTGCACGATTCAAGTCCCCGATCCAGTGGCTTGAAAATCATGCCAGGTGCATGTGCGTGCGTGTCCCAAATCCTGAGAAGACTGGAGGAGAAGAGATTTCAGTGTGGCCTTCTCCCCAGGGGGTGATTGCTCACTCCTCCCTCCCTCATGAGAAAATATACTTTATGACAAGAATTAAAAAAAAAAAAAAGTAGTTTTGAAAATCTTGTAAGAGCTTTTAGAGAAGTTTTAAAGGAAACATTTAATAACTTACAGTTAACGATGGCAATGTTTATTCCTCTGGCAACATTTCCAATCTTTTCTCCTATAAGCCTGAAAAGTAACAACACATTAGTCAAAGAAGTCCTTTCTTTTTTTTTTTTGAGAGATTTTCACTGTAGGGCGCGTGCGCTCGCCAGACAGACAGAGACATAGAGACAGAAAGCGAGAAATCACCCCCAGGGGGGATGGTCACGCTGCAATCCCTTCTCCTCCATTCTCCTCTCGGGATCTTGGGCACGCACGCACACGCGCCTGGCGTGAGTTTTAAGCCACCGGGTCCGGGACGTGAACCATGGTCGACTACGTGGGAGTCCAGCGACATAGCCATTACACTAACTGCTGGTTCCCAAGAAGTCCTTTCTTACCAAAAGAAAAGTAAGCAAGAAATGACCTTGCTCCATGGGTATTCCCTCAGCAGCCTCTGTTTTTGTCACTTTACATTTCTTCGCAAATATGCACTTGGGGCAGCTCACTAGAAAGTTAACCCAACACTCATGCCACACGAGTTATTCCCAAGTTTCCACAGAAACTTCCAGGTGTTTCTTAGGGCACTTGGAAACCACATTTAGAATCTTATATTTTAGATAAATGGCAAGGGAGAGGGAAAACTAACATTTCTTTAGCTTAGGTTCTTTACAAACGTTCTTCACTGACTCCTCCATCAGTTCATGAGCATTTGTTTTTTCATTTCATGAATATGAAGTGTAAGAGGTGAGCCAATAGGAGACAGACATGGCCCAAGTCTGAAGCCCCCAACTTCTGTATCTCCTCCCTGCTCAGAGCACTGACAGAAGCTTTGTCGACTCCTGGCAATCATTTCATGCAACCACCAAACTGAATCCAACGTATCTCCTTCCATAAGCACCTTATATTGTATCACGTAATTTTCACTTTTAAATTGGAGAGCAGGAAATGTCAGGCTCAAGGGGATTGTGCCCTAAAACCGAGAAGACTGAATAGTTTTCCTAGAGGTGGTGATTATTAATAAAGACCATGGGAACTGTGTATGTTTTGTGTGCAAATACCCTTTGTCAAGTTTTAGAACTAATGATATGTTAGCCTCACTGGAAAAAAAATTTAAAGGCTTTCCTCCTTTTTACATGCTTTGAAATAGTGAACACAGCACTGTAATAGTCTTCATTTGATGTGTTTACTTAAGTTTCCCTATAAGCCTTTTATGCTTAGTGCTTTTTGACAATTCAAGAGAATATGCCATATGAGTTTTAAAAGAAGCAAAAGGAAATTTCCATTTATGATCATGGAAAAGTGAGTAATCTGAATTAACTCCCCAGTAGAGAAAAACAGAATTCATGGATAAAAAATGTTTTTTTTTTTTTTTTTTTTTTTTTTTTTTTAAGATTTGCTTAAATGCACTAGAGATCTGATAAGTAGTAAATAATTTCCCAGGTCAAGATCTGGGAGAAGGGAGCCAGCAGGTGGGATGGTGGTTAAGGCACTGAACTCCCACATAGCTGACTACAGGTTTTTTTTGTTTTTTTTTTTTTTTTAGAGATTTTCACTGTAGGGCGCGGGCGCTCGCCAGACAGACAGAGAGAGACATAGAGACAGAAAGTGAGAAATCACCCCCAGGGGGGATGGTCACGCCACAATCCCTTCTCCTCCATTCTCCTCTCGGGATCTTGGGCACGCACGCACACGCGCCCGGCGTGAGTTTTAAGCCACTGGGTCTGGGACACGAACCGCGGTCGACTACGTGGGAGTCCAGTGACATAGCCATTACGCTAACTGCTGGTTCCCATGGCTGACTACAGTTTAAGTCTGGGACCTGGCGCTTGTTTTCTCACTTGCGGCCAGCAGGTGGTGTCCTAGTTAAGGCAGTGGACTCCCACATGGCCAACTACAGTTCAGGTCCTGGACTTGGTGGCTTGCTTTCTCACTTTCCTTCTCTCTCCCTCTCATCAAATTAAATACTAATAATAGGGGCTAGCAGGGGATGTGGTGGTTAAAGCAGCTGGACTCCCACACAGCTGACCGTGTTTCAAGTTTCAGACCCAGCGGCTTGAAACTCACGCCAGGTGCATGTGTGTGTGTGCCCAAGATTCCAAGAGAAGAACCGAGAGAAGGGACTGTGGCATAGTCATCCCTCGGGAGGGTGATTTCTTGCTTTCTGCCTCTCATGCTCTCTGGAGAGCTGAAGCACCCTAAAGTAAAAATCTCTCTCTCTGGGGAAAAAAAAAAAGGGACCCAACACTCAGTGAAAAGCCAGAATCCATGTGCATCTGAGGTGGGACTAGCTCTGCCCCTTTAACAAGAAAGCCTCTGCCCCAAACCCCTCCTTCTGGCTCAACACCCAGCAAAAGGTCAGGTAGGGTGGTCTCTGTCTTCTTTCTGTCTTCTCTCTCTCCCTCTCCCTTTCTCTTGAAAATTTTCTCTCATATATATATATATATGTGTGTGTTGTGTTTCATTTTGTTTTGTTTTGTTTTTAAATCTGTAGGTACTGTCTCTTGTCTCCTTTCTCTTGCTATTTCAGAATCCATGTGCATCTGAGGTGGGACTAGCCCTGCCTCTTTCAGCATGCCACACAGGTCTCAATTTTTTGCCTTTAAAAAAAATTTTTTTTTCCCCTTTTCATTGTTTGTTTTGTTGTAGAAAACCAGATGCCAAGGAAAGGAAAACAGAACCCAGGGATATAAGAGAACTGTTTATTATGCCAGTGGGCATGGAGGAGTTAACACTCTGAATTTCCAGCCCCGACTGAGAGTTAGATACAGGCTTTTATAGGCATATTTGGGGGGGGGGTGTTCAACACGCTTGGAGTATCTTACCAGGGAGAGGGCTCAGTGTCTGCCCTAATACAGAGCTGGCAGAGAAGCAGGGAATCCAACCTGCTCAAGGCCTCCAGTCGCTGAACAATTCAGGGGAGGGGCAGCTAGCTCATGGGGAACAGACAGCCCAGGCAGCTATCAGCCTCGGGTGCTTCAAGGTTGCTTCCAAGTTCCTCCATATCAGAACAGAAGGTTCTGATTATCAGCTTTGGGTTGCTCCACATCACATTATTTGTTTATCTTTTCCTTTGTTTCCTTTCTTTTATCTGACTTTCTCACCTTGCTTCTCACCTTCCACACATTGAATGTCTAGGCAGGTCTAGGTGTACAGTAGCGAAACATCTGAATACTTTAAACCCCGCAGCTCAGCCCAGGTGCTCCTATTCCCTTGAAACTGGGAGGCCTTTGTAATGTCCAGTTCTACTGACAAAAGTGCAGGTTGCTTGGTCAGAAGCAGGGAAATGGAACTGCAGAAAAGTTGCAGGCCATCTCTTTCCGCACGCCTCTAACACTCAGAATCAACTCTAAGAAGGTAGGAAGTAACATATGATCCACCAGATGACCAGAGACCACCACTGCAGAGGCACAAGAAATATGGGAAATCAAGAAAATATCTCTCCGTCAAGGGTAAAGAACAGCCTTTCATCATCCACAGACAGTACAATGGAACTCATGAACATGTCAGATAAAGAATTTAGGATATTCATAGTGACAAAGCTAACAGACATGCAAGAGATGAGAGACAACAAAAAGAAGAGACAACAAGTTCCAGGAGGTGAAAGAGGAAATATACACTATAAAAAAAAATCAAACGGAATTGTTAGAGATGAAGGCTGTAATACAAGAAATCAAAACATCCCTTGAAAGTATTAAAAGCAGATTAGATCATGCAGAAGATCGAATCTCAGATGTAAAAGACAGACTTTCTGACCTAGAAAATTTCACCAAAAAGACTGACAAAATAACCTCTAAAAATGAGAATAATATACAAGTAATACTAGATACCATTAGATGCTCAAACATCTGGATAATTGGTATCCCAAAAGGTGAAGAAACTAATCAGGGCATTGATAATCTATTCCATGAAATCCTG